CGTACGGAGAATTCCCCTGGGAAGGCTTCTTGCCACCAAAACGAGTGTAAGAGGAGAGGTTGGGAAGTTCCTTGCGGAAGAGGGCAGCGCTTGGGGGTCGGGGCAGCTCCGGCAGTGGCTCCCACACGGGAAGGAGGCCGGTGTTGGCGCTGCTGATCCCAAGGGAAGCCCCAACACGGGTCCCTGCCCGGCCCCGCGGCACCAGCGGAGCGCGCGGCAGCCCGGCCGCACGAAGCTCCAGCTGCGGAGGGAGCCCGGTACGGGAAAGCCCCCGCACGAGCTGCCCGTGTGCTCCTCCATTTCAGGAACACCATCGTTCATCTCGGTGAAACCATTAACTGCGAGAACACAAATCCCGGGAATTACCACACCAATTATCCCAGCACTAGGGAGCCTTCCCATCGGCTCTCCCAGCTGCACGGAACGGGAGCAAGGCGCCGTGGCCGCTGCCGTGGGGCAGAGCGGGGAGCGCCGGGGCGAAGGGGGCAGCCCCACACCGGGGCACGCAAGGCAGCTCCTCCCCGGGGGCGACGATGCAAAGGGTCTGGGCACCAAGAGCCTCAAAGAGCAACCACAAACATAATGAAGCTGTTAACGCTCAAGTCGAGTTCCCTTTTGTATTAAGCTTGTCTGACAAGATCTGCGTGCCAGCCACACTTACAAGCGGACAACTACGGGGTTTGTTTTCACACAAAGCAACAAATCTAAGTATTGAATAACGAGAAGCCTACAGCAGTCACACACACACACACACACACACACACACACACACACACATATAAAACATGGATTTTATGATGAGAAATGGGTCCTTTATCACGGTTGTTTCCAACCACAACAATTCTGTGATCCTACCTTTTCCAAATAGGAATGTGCCTTCCCTCAAAACCAGGCAGCTGGAGAAACGTGAGTGAAACCCACCTTTTGGAACAGAATTCTGTACCTCTGTACCTTCAAGTGAAGTGCCCCGCGGCTAAACCAGTTTAAATCAATTCAGTGCCAAGCCCCCTGAAGCACAATTGCTCCTGGATGCCTGTAAGGAAGGAGAACGTCCCGGCGGTTCCTGCCACGGGTGCTCCGGGCGAGATGCTCAGGGAGCAATGGCCGCTTCCAGACAAGAAGCCTCAACATTTTTTCATCTCCGTCAGTGCTCTGAGAAAGGAGCAATGAAGGCTCCTGCCTTAGGGGGAGAGAGCAAAGCAGAGTCACAAAATTGAGTCACTTACGTTTCTGTGGTCAGACTATAGCACAGGGAGAAAAGTTTTATTCCAGAATACATCAGGGCACACGTTCAACACCTGCATTTTTTCCTTCTCTCTTTATGAAGCTGCAAGCCTACAGAAGACAAGGAAGCTATTTGTATAAAGCAGGGAATGCAGTAAAACAAGTATTTGCAAGGACGGACCCAGAGTAATTCCTGCAGTGACGTATTTTGCAGGAAGCTCTAGCTTCAGACTCACAATTAGCAAAGGAAAGAACACCCTTGTTTCAAAACTCCTCTCGGATCGAGCGCAGTCACTTTTTGCTGCGGAGCTGCTGTCTTTGCCACCGTTTTCACGCCAAGTCCGCGGCACACCAGCAGGCCGGAGCGCTGTGGAGCGCAGCCAGCAGGGTGCGATTCCGCCCCTTCCACAAGCAGGCGCCTCCCGCAGCCCACGCTGCCCAGCCTCGTGCCCGCACACCTCCTGGAGAGCGGGCACTGCCATCGCGGGGCGCAGCAGCCACACTCACCTTCACCGGGGACACGGGGAGCCCCAAGTCTCCCTGGAAATCCGGCAGAGCGGAGAGCAGGTCAGTGGTGTCCGAGGCTCGGAGCGCTGCCGGGGACGCGGCGGCTCCCGCCTGGCCCCAGGAGCACCCGGGCTCGCGCAGGGCTCCTCCGCGGGCACGGGGGGCCTCAGGCAGCCCGCGTGGCGAAACACGGGGTGCGCCGCCCCACGTGGGCTAGGTAAGAGGGGAAGCACAGAGCGCACACCAGGGATGCGCACGGGTCCCAGAGCACCGACAGCTCCACTCTCTCGAGCTGCACAGCACCGCGCGGCAGCCGCCCTGCCCGCTGCGCCGGGGGGCAGCACGAGGCCCCCTGCTCACACTGCAAGGAGCTTCTCCTAAGCTACAGAGCTGCTTTAGCTAAATAAACCTTCAGGGCTTTAATTAATCCCAACAGCCTGGGCCCTGGTCCTGAGGGCAGGGCCGGTGCCTCTGCCCCCCGGGCAGTTACGTGGGCCGCTATCTGCACGGGTGAGCCCCACAGGCAGCACGCAGGGGCCGCGCTCCTCACGTGCGGGCACACTCCAACGCAGCTGCAAGGTGACTTCCAAGGCAAGCTGCTCCTGTGCCACCCTGCCACGCGCCGGGGCACCCTCTCGGTGCCTGCTAGGGCGCCCACAGGTGTCTGTAACTCACAGTACGTGAGCACGCCCGCAGAGGAGCTGCAGAGCCAGGGAAAGCACAGCTGGCACGGAGCAACCGGCACCACCGCCCCGGCACCCACCGCGCGCCCCACACTCACCTGCTGCCCACCCGGAGGCACCACCAGCCCCACACGTGGAGCGACGGCCCCTGCCAGGGGCGCTCTGCACCCACAGCACTGACCTGCACGGTGCCCGCAAGGGCAAGACGGAATGCGCCTCCCGGGGCAGGACTTCCTGGGAAGCACGATCCAGGGATGGCCCCACGGAGTGTGCCTCCGGGGGCAGGACTTCCCGGGAAGCACGATCCAGGGATGGCCCCGCAGCACGCGGGGATGGCGCCCGCTCTGCCGGAGGCGGCAGCTGCAGAGCAGAGCACTTCGGAGCAGGGACATTGGTGTTCCCCAGCTGGAGCATCAGCGCAGCAAGAGGCAGAACCGAGCGGCGTGCAAGAGCGCTGCAACATCCACGTTCCCGCAGCTCACGCGGAGGAGCCCCAGGCCAGCGCTACCCGCCTCACGAGGAGCCTGCGGGCACGACCCGAGGCCGGGTGGAGGTGCAGGGGCGGCGAGAGCGGCGCTGCCGCCGGCCGCTCTGCGCAACGCGCCGACCCGGGAAGGCCCCGCTAGCCTAAAGCGGCATCTACAAGAAAGCGGGCCCAGGAAAACCCCCAGGATTCGGAGAGGCTTCGCTATCCGCCAGCGCTGAGCTGCACAGGGTGTTAGCGACCACGTTGGACACCAGAAAAGCGCCGTGCAGGAAAAGCCCAGCGACTCCCTCCGGGCCGAGTCCCCGCGGCTGCCAGGAGCACAACGGGCACGGAGCATTCCCACTGCAAACGCTGCCTTCTCCTCACTGTGCAACAACGTGAGCAGGCCACGTGTCTGAAAGCCATTGCAAGGAACACAGTTTTGTGCCACCAAAAGGGGTTGGATTCACTGCCCCGAGATACTGAAATAAACCATTGTGCCAGATTCCAATCTGAGCTAGAAGCGACCGAGAAAAGCACAAAACCTGCAGGAAAACCAGGCAGGTTAAAAGTGTATCCACCCTCATTGCCAGGCACACTGGTGAAAAAACCCCTTTGCTCATAGCTCTCACGCTGGTGGTTCCTGGGACAATTTTCAGATATCCCTGTGTAGGAATGTGTCTTGAGGATCAGCGAAGGACCATTTACTGCAAATGTGAGACTTTACTGGAGCACAGGCTCTCCAAGAGTTTTTTTTATATATATGATATAAAATATATATGATATAAAATATATATGATATAAAATATATATGATATAAAATATATATGATATAAAATATATATAATATAAAATATATATAATATAAAATATATATATAATATAAAATATATATATATATATTTCTGGCGCTCTGCCTTCCTTTTCTGAACTGCTGGGTCATACTCAGGTTTGCTGTCATTTGAGGGGCTTGAGTCTTCTAAGTACTTCAAAGAGAGTTCAGTTGGTCTTGAAATCCAAGTGTGCTGTTTCGGTGGAAAAAAGCAGTGAAATGATGAGCAATACAGGATCTTCTGAAGTATCTTCACTTTCCGTGAACAGCCTCCATGCTCAGCATCCCTGCATCCTTACTCCTCCTCCTCTTCATTTGCAGAGAGACAGTCAAAAAGAAGCCAGGTAAGAATTCACTGCTTCAAAAATATGACTTCTCACAAAAGCTAAACCACCTCCTTACCCAAATGATTCTAGTCGCTGCAACATTTTAGGTAAAGTTCCAGGAAAACTGACCCCAAACAGCCAGGAAAAAACACAAAAAAATCACGATCTTCATGTTTCACCAGAAACTGCTGTTTTTAAACAAGTTTTTCTCTCCTACTTGTAGCCAGCCTGAATGAAAGGGACTGTGAGGAGCAGCGCGCGAGGGACGAAGGTGACTCCGTTTCAGCAGATGTGACCGGCAAGGGACGTTCAGGCAAACCTGCCACACCAGGAGGCAGGAGGAGGAGGAGGAAGGGAGGAAGGCGCCACGGGTGCTACAGGACCCCTACACCCCCAGCACCCTGCAATGCCCGGGTGAGCCTGCACGTGTGAAGCACGAGCACTAAGCCAAACTGAGCCTTTCAGAAACACCCGGGGATTTCTCGCCTTCCCCCTGTTTACCCAACAGACCGGTTCTTTACAAAAATAAACACTCAGGGGGACTTGAGAGACAGTTCCCCCACAGCTCAAGCAAACAGGCTTCCTTCTTCCTTGTTCAAATCTGCAGTATCTGTCAAAAAATATCAAAACACTCGAGGGAAAGTGCGGGTGCAGAGTTGCTGAACTAATATATCTACCTTTATTCCCATGGCTACAGTATCACGAGAACTTCTGCCCTCCCGAATTCTTCAGAGGGGCCACAGCATCAGGAACATTATTTGGCAGAGATTTCGTGAAGGACGGTTTCCTAACGCTCAACAGCAACACTTGCAGCAAATATAAGAGAGTGTCCCTTACGTTTTTTCCCCCCCGCCCCTCCTCTCTTTCTCTCTCTATGTATTTTTCACTCTATCATCTCTCTGTCCTCATCCCTGCCCTACCTCCAGTTTCAGGTATTTAGAGCAATGACACTTCTCAAGAGCTGGTGTACAACATCTTTATATACACTACAAATTCAGGTTACCAGACTATTGTTGGACATTGAATATATAAATAACTTTGCAAACTATTTACACGTTTTATACCGATCGGGTTTCAAGTGACCACCATTCTTAAGGCAAATTCATTTGTATGACCCGCTGTCTGGCCTCCCCCTTCCCCTTGCCCTGACCCCCCCCAAAATGACAAGCTACGAACATGGAATTTAATTTCTCCCCTACATCATCTACACTGATGGGAACTCTGGAAAGCAGGGTGAGATTATCAAGCTACTTATGATCTTTCCTCAAAATAAGGAAAAACGGTTGCAAAAGGCATAATTAATGTGATTTACCATTTGGCATTCTTGTGCAAGTCAAGAAAATCATTAAGGTGCATACCAAGACGTGAAAGTCCCAATGCCTTGAAAGAACATAATTTTTGTATGCACTGGACAAATGGATTTGGGGATTTGGGGAAAGCATCAGTTTAAAGCTGCACAACCCTTTTCAGAACTATGTATTTATAAGTCCATTAAGTACAAGATCTGGAGAGCTCACAGGGATTTTCCAAAACTGGTGAGACTGCAATACAAAATGCAGCAGAGAGTGGATTTGCTAAGCGTGTGTTTAACTAGGCTAGAATTTCTCTCTTATGCCATATTGCTGTGGAAGATACTACTCATCATGAGGAGGGATTCTGCACACCTTGCCAATTCGTACATTGTAATAAAAATTGGCTATTTCATATGCAACACGGTAATCCTAAGTGCAATCCCTGTGCAATCCCTTTGCCAATGCACAGCTGAAACAACCAAGCACATCCTGGCGAAGCAGACAGGATTCACGTGCCAAACATGCCCTCAGCACCTTCCTTTCAGTCCCAACCTTTGTTCTTACTGTTTCCCAAAGTCCTGGTCAGGTCTTTGTTTGGAAGTAGTTGGCTACTGTGGTTTAAGGATTTGGGAAGAAAGCAGAAACTTCATACTGAATGCAGAGGTCATCCTCAGGAGACACCAAAGGGGGAAGTTATCGGTTAGCTTTGTACTTAGAAGCATCCCTTGGCTCACTGCTAGGATTGCTCCAGTCATCTGCTTCAGGGGTGGTCTTGTAGTGTCGCCACGCTGACTTATTAAAAACTGGAAGTCTTTCAAATGATTCACTTGAAAGGGCCTACGAGAAAAGAAAAGCAGCGGTGAGGTATCGTTCAGAAACGGGAAGATACTCCAGGAGTTCCCGACTCCGATTTGTGTTCTGAAAAAAGCCGCAACTACCCAAGCGCTACCTGTCACAAGGCTCTTTTGAAAATACTTTGGCTATCAACAGTCATTCCCAAAGAATTGGGAAATAACAGCAGGATCAATACTCTACTACACAGAGATCAAGAAGTGCACAGAAAGAAAGAGTTGTAGTCAGGAGCTACACAACAGCCTTCTTTTGGTTTTGGTGTGGTCAACACTAGCAGAGTCAAAATACATTAATTAAAAACTATCTCCGATCACACAACTATTCTTTAAAATTTCAACATTTGCAATGGATCAACAAAACGCAAAAATCCAGCACGAGGAAACTAAAAAACACTGGATATTAAACTAATATGAGTGCTGAGGTTAAGATTTATAACCTGTTTTGAAATTATACATATCTAATATGAGTAAAATATAACAACATCAGCAATTACAAATTTGAAAACAGTGAAGAGATGAAAAACATCACCTAGGGAGCAGAACAACTGCCTGCTTTAAACTACCAAATTGCACAAAATTGTTAGTTTATAGAAAGATCAAATTCGTACCTTCAAATAAATTACAGCATCTGAGCCAACTCCTTCCATTGAGTAGAGTTTAAGGTCACCTTGAAAATACCTGGCATAGAGACGAGAAATTGGCAAACCATAGCCAAATCCAGCCTACAAAAACATGAAAACGGAAGGAAAAATATGACGGAAAGTTTAAGACAAAGCATGCAACACATCATTACAGCTGCTTACAAAACTGAAAATAAAGATATCTGATTATTAAATTTACCTCAGATTACCCTCAAAACTCTTCTTTATTCCTCAGCCTGCACTGTAATTAGTAATTTATCTCAGATTACCCCCAAACCTCTCCTTTATTCCTCAGCCTGCACTACAAGATGTTATTTAACTAACCTCATTTTGTATCAGATTTTTTTTCTTCTTTTTCTTTTGCCCTTGGTTCAAATGCATAAAAGGTAAAGATACCACCATAAAGAAAGGAAGAAACCTCTGCTAGGATTCCTCGGGTCATTTTTCGCTTCCCCACGGAGGCAGGCAGGTGCCACCCGGAGCACGTGTGGCCCCCAAGCAGAGCAGGCCCTTTCCCGGCCTCCTCGCGACGGTGCCTCCGCGCCGCTGTGCTACTTCCCTCTCTTTGCCCACACCAGGTTGCTGCCAGCACATTCCCCCTGGAGCCCCGGGATCACTACCCGCGAGACGCTGAGCGCTTCGCAGGACACGCAAGTCAGCAGGAGACAACAGGCGCCCATTCCCTGCCGGAGGCTCCGCGGGCGGCCAGGGAGCCCCAGCAGCCGCTGCGGGCAGGACTCGCTCCAGCCGCCACGTGCGGAGCGACTCCAAGGAAACGCTCCCGGCCGCTGCTCGCCCAAGCCGCGCAGCCCGCGGCGCGGCGAGCCGCCTCCTGAAGGCTAAAAGCACAACGGACCCGAGGGCTACAAGTTTTACATTTCTAAATCCCTGGTTTTAGATGGTAGCTGCAGGGTAGGTAGACGGCTTCCTCCTGAGGAAAGGCCACGAGGGCCAAGCACGGCCCGCGGGGCGGCAGGTTAAGGCTCCACCTGCAGCTCTGCTCCTGCAGACACGTGGGCACAGGCTGTGCGTGAGGCTGCGCGCTGGGCTACCCCAGACCCACCCAGGGCTGAACGGAGCCACGCGGGAGGCCTCGAACACAGAGGCCTTTGGAAGGGAGGGCGCACCGGGCAAAGGAGACCACGCGAAAATCAGGCTCTTCCGACTTCTCAGAAAACCTGAGCCAACTCTAAGATTCCTATGAAGGAAGCCTAAAACATACTGGGAGGGGTAAGGAGTCAAAGCCTGGAAGATACTGGGAGGATCAGAGAGTAAACGATTTTACTCAGAGTAAACAATTTTAGAACCGACACTTGACTTGCAGCAAGAATCACGCGCTGAGTCTCAGCGAGCGAACCCGGGCAGCGCTGAGAACGAGCACGGGCAGCGCACACAGCGACTGCGTGGTGCCTCTCCACACGGAAGGAGCCACCAGAAATGCCCTGGAAGGGAAAGGGGACATTAAGGAACCTTGTACCACGGCCTCCATCACCTGCAGCCTGCGCGGTGCCCCTCGCTGTTACGCGGTGCTCCCACACGGAGCAGGGCTGCTCAGGCTGGTGCCTCTCCTGGCGATTGGGGAAAAGGCAGGAGCACCAGCGCCGAGCGCCGGAGTGGGGAACAGGTTGCCTTTTGTGCTCCCGCTGCTGGTTACAGTTACTGGCTCCCACAGACACACCAGCTACTTGGAGGCGCTCTTGCAAAGAGCAGCATGTGCCAGCAAACCCTTCTCAGAGACTGCCGGTGTGGACGCAGGCATCACTTCCACACATCCCGCTCCAAGACGAGAAGCATCTCTGCGAGTCTCTAAAGAGGGGATGTTTTCTAACTGCCTTAGAAAGAACGCTGTAAACAAAACAAAACCAAAACTGTTCCAAAGACTTACTTGCTGGAAACAGGTCAGTAAATATGTAACTGAAAGTGAAACTGCAAAGCAAACTGTAGCTAGTACCTACCCCAAGCTCAATTAGGGACTGTCTCAACCTCAGCCTCAACCCTGAAAACGTATTACAGTTTCCCCAGAATTATATTTCCTTAATATCTATGTCCACCTGTGTTTTGTAAAACACAGGAAAACTAGCACAAATTGACTAGTACTACACAGGTCCATGCTTGATCTGGAGAACAGCACATAGCGCTACACATAACTGCGCTGAGGAAATGCTTTAGTGCCAATTTCTCCTTTAATGTTATAGTATGCATTATACAAATAGGAAATTATTGAATTTGTTTGATAGGGTGTTTACAGGTTTAAACAAACCTTACTTAACATTCTCCCACTGCCAACGAACCGTCCAGCCCAGAGAACTGCTGAATGCCCCCAACCCGACGAGCACTGGACACTGCTGTGCGTTGAACCAGGTGCTTCCACGGATTCCCAGTGCCTGCGGCACCACAGGCAAACCCCAAACGCGCCAAAAACCCAAGTGTTCCCACAGCACCTAGACTTCCCAGCTGGTTCAGAGCCACACTTGCAGCCACACTGAAAATGATTCCCCGACACCGCAGATCCCTCTCTTCCAAACCTCGCAGCCCATGAACGTTTCATAAACGAGATGGGGGATCCTGTAGCAACGCGGAGCAGGGCTGGAGGTGGTGTTGGGGCAGAAACGTCTACATCTTTTCACACCACACTACCACCTCTTCACAGAGGAAAACAAAGCCTGAAGGTGGGCTAGGTTAGAAGAAAACTACTATAAATTTTATTTAGTGTTGCCAGCAGGTCAAGGGAGGTGATTCTGCCCCTCTCCTCAGCTCTGGTGAGGCCGCACCTGGAGTATTGGGGGCAGTTCTGGGCTCCCCAGTATAGGAGGGACGTGGAGCTTCTGGAGAGGGTCCAGAGAAGGGCGACCAGGATGATTAAGGGAATGGAACATCTCCCGTATGAGGGGAGACTGAGTGAGCTGGGCCTGTTTTCTCTGGAGAAGAGAAGGCTGAGAGGGGATCTGACTAATGTGTATAAGTTCAGGAAGGGAGAATGCAGGGAAGAAGGGGACAGGCTGTTCTCACTGGTGGCCAGCGATAGGACGAGGGGTAATGGCCACAAGCTGAAGCACAAGAAGTTCCATCTCCAGGTGAGGAGCAACTTCTTTACTGTGAGGGTGCCAGAGCCCTGGCACAGGCTGCCCAGGGAGGCTGTGGAGTCTCCTTCTCTGGAGATCTTCCAAACCCGCCTGGATGCCACCCTGTGCCCCATGCTCTGGGTGTGCCTTGAGCAGGAAGATTGGACTAGATGATCTGTAGAGGTTCCTTCCAACCTTGACCATTCTGTGATTCTGTGATAAATGCCATAGAATCAAAGTAAGCAGACTTAAAGATTAGAAAATAGAGGAATATGTTGCTAAAGATACAAGAAAACAACACAGAGCTGAAGCCAAAAACCCCACAGCAATCCCAATCCTAAACTGAGCACATTTTAAAATGAGAGCACCACAAAGGCAGAGCCATTAAAATAAAAAGGGAACTGGCAGTCAAGACAGAAGGGCTTTTTCCCCCACTAAGAACGAATAATTTTCAGGAAACCTTTGTAGATCTATATAGTAAATTGCTGGTCAAAAGCAAGGCAAAATAAAGGCAGACTATGAGTGAAGGAAGATTCTACCATTCCTGTCTGGAAAAGTAAACTTAGTATTTGAATCAAGGACTGTTGTGCATCACTCATGCAATTCTAGAAGACTTCCTCTGAAAGAGGCACAGCGCTGTTTGAAATGTTGTTACTAAGGTGCTGTGGAGATAGGAAGCCAGAGGGACTTAGCGTCAGGCCTAAATTTACTTCCAGATATTCTATGTCAGAAATACAGTGCACGACATTGTTTATTAGCTGCCTGAGAGCTCCAAAGCCACACAGCTACCCAAAAACCAACCACGTAAGAACACAGAGATCTAGATGTATTTAAAGGGGAAAGGAAATTCCTCAGAGAATCAACTTGTCTCGACATGCTTGAAAATACAGGACTGCATCAGAAGCAATGCAGAACAAAGACATCAGAAGGAAAGCAAGATTTTCCTAAAAGAACTACAATATTCAATAGTGAAGTAATTCTCCGCTTAGAAGCAGCTATGGAAAAGGTCTGTTCTGTTTTCTAAATCCGATTCCAATACATCTCAAAAGGGAGCATCATGTGAAATATCCCCAACAGAAGAAAAACACATCAAATCAGATCCTCTCGCGTATCACATATTTGGGGATTTTTTAAAATGATTTTCTACAGTCTAACTTATATAAAAATCGTCTTCAAAGTTTAGTATAAAATAATGTATTATCAGAAATATTTCTCAGCTACTAAGAGTATGGTCCATCTCTTCAATACAAATACTTAATCTAGTAAAGTTACAAATACTTACTCTAGGAATCTGCACACAAAGCAGCAGCTCATTAAGTTATCTATCCTTTTACTAACATAGTAGTAAGAAATCCTGTCCATTAATCTGTCAGAACATTGTGCTAACAAAGACAAGCTTCTTTCCAAGAACATAATGCCCAAGACAAAAGAAATAATTCTGTGCTCCAAAGATTGACTGCATTTTCTCCCAGTACATTTTACCTGCTCTAAATTACTAAAGATAGACAATTTCTTCAATGGAAAAAATGATCCAGTCAGTGGCAGTGAAGAGGAAGGCACGAGTAGAGCCCTATCAAAGCAGAGTTAAATAAGAATTATAATTGCTTACCAAAGGCACAGCTCTCGTTGGCTCCAAACTAGGCCTGGGTGCTGTGGAGTACATGTAGTTGAACAATCTGTCTATCTTTCTCAAAGGTACGCCTCCGCCGTGGTCACTTATCTAGGGGACGAAAAGGGAGAACTGTTAAACACTGTGTTCTGCAAAAAAAAGTGCAAAAACCAAGCAGCTAAATGACTTAAGAATTCTTCATGCATATGAAATAAATGACAGAAGTCATACAGAACATAATGTCTTTACAAATTACAAGTTTACTCTAAACTTAAGAAGTTCATAGGTTAAGAACTTTTTGTTAGGGATTTACCTTAATAGATAGATCTTCTTTCCCCAAAGTGACTAAGGTTTTGATTGATGGATAAGCTTCTTTCTTACCTTCGTGCAATTCTACCGTAGCTCTCATCGAGTTCTGAAGTTAAAAGAATAAAACACCATCTTGGATTCCGATACATGATGCTTCTAATGTTACCACAGACACTTAACAGCCACTGGAAACGCAAACCAGAGCTCCCCACGTGGCGGAAGATGCCCTTTGACAGGACATGTTGCTCCTCACAGATCGCTAGCGTGCCCAGCCACGCCAAGTAGGTGCCACCCATGGATGCCCAACATTTGCCCTTCCCATAAAGTTCCTCTGGCCCCAAACAAGCAGGAAGCAGGTTAGAGACCAACACGCCCCATGGGGACCGTGTGACCACCTGCTTTCCCAACGTGCAGAGGACACCCATCCCACCCCATCCTCACATCCCCGAGGAGTGGCACGACAAAGTGGCAAGTTTTGGAAAACTGCAAGGCCTTATAATGCATCATCTCTGCAAGACTAGGTTGTTTATATTTGCTTTACATTGATCAGCTGCAAAAAAGCAAAAGGAGAAGTGGGAAAGCCATGGAAAAATTTCTTAACTATGGAGAGGTGCCAGAGGGTTGTGTGCCAAGCATTTACCACAATTTCAGATGGTCTTCGCTGGCTAAGACTAAGCTTAAGAAAGGGAAACCGAAATAACATTTAAGAGCAACTGAAAAGAATCTTAATTATAACTGTACTGTAAGTTCGCCAACTTTAGTATTTCCAAATATTTAAAAGCATCAACTACCTTGAATAATTCAAACAGCATGTGAAACAGATGAGATGGTACATAAACTACTTGGATAGGCTTGTTTGGAGCTTTAGCTATTAAAAAAAAAAAAAAAAAAGAAAATTAGCTACCAAGCAATCCCTTGCAGCACTTCTATTTACAGTGACAATATGAAGCTTTAAACAAAGACAATTATGCTTAATTTTCCAAGTGCAAAATCATGGAATCATGGAGGTTGGAAAAGATCTCCAGGATTAGAGTACAACCGTAAGCCCATCCCCATCCTCCCTGCTAATCCACGTCCCCAAGCACCTTGTGTCCCGTAAAGTGAAAACACAGAGCTGCAGTCGCTGCCTTCACCTGAAACGACTCTTAGCTAAGGATTTTTGAAGTCACCCGTGTCAGCAGGCATGCTTAGGTATGGAACATCATTAAGCAGTGGTTACTCCTGACACTGCTGTTATGTGTCCGTGTATTTTATGCATTGGCAGCCTGCAGGGAGGAGCTGGTCACCCTGGCCCACAGGTCGAGAGGGGGATTTAGCAGCATACGTGAAGGCGAATCCCTGTTCAGTTGCCTCTTTCCCAGCAAGAATTCCCAACTGCCTCAAGGTGAGGGTCGCTGAAGCAGGTGGCCCTCTGCCCGCAGCCCCAGGAATTAGGCAATCACATTATCACCATAAACTAAGTTTCAGGTGCCCTTGTAGATGAGTTATGAGAGAAAGAAGGAACTTTGCACACAGGACTGCAGGCTTTCAGTTATAACTTTAAATTGATCAAATAAAGCTGGACATGGCAGCTATTCGAGGTGTTCTTTCTGAAATACATCATCTCAGAATTAAATGAATTTCATAATTACCATTGAATTCTTCAACTTCCAGATCTGGTGCAACCATATAGTACTGCTCACATAACATCTTGGCTGTTTCATAAGCATCTAAAAAAGAAGAGAAGAGAATACCAATTTATGAAAAGCACCTGAGCCCAGCACCGTTCATCCCGCCTCAGAAAGGCTGACGGGAGAGCACTCACTTCAGGCACAGGTTTACAAATACAAAGCTTGATCAGTATTGTCTGTATCCTCACAGCCGATAGCCAAGAAAGGGCATATTCTATTTAAAGTTCTATAAACAAAAGCAGGTTAGTGAAGACCAGCTATTCTTTTCTTCTTCTTTGCTCAGGGTTTGAAAACCTAAAAGAAGAGTCTAATAATAGGATGGCCATAATATCTGCTTGTTTGGTATGTGCTCTACACACATACACAAGAGGATGAGAAAGGATGGTATGGACAATCATAAGCTCAATTTTTCCAAGGAAACAAGGAAGTTCAAGTTGTACTCTCGTCTGAACGATTCCCAATACTCCTTTGCAAAAACATGTCAGGAAAAAAAACTACACAGTCACTACAGGAATGCTGAGAGGACAAAGATGCTGTGAATAAACACACGTAGCCTCTCCAACCTGAACATTCACCTCTTTCAAGTGCCCACTCTGAAACCCCGCCGCTGGAGATGAACATGGAGGCCCTTTAGGAACCACCTTCTGCCCAGAAGAAAGAAAAAGTGAAATCTTGGAGTCTACCCTTCCCAAAAACCCAACTCAGTCTTTGGCCTAAGACTGTAGAAGAGCCAGTGTCATAAGGTTCAAAGCATTCCTCGTGTTGTGGCCAGAGAGTGCACGAGTTGTCAGGGCATCTGAAGCCCAGTTCCAGAAAGAGGCCTGGAGCTGCTCCCAGGCCAAACACAAGCTTAACGGGAGGCACTCAATGAGAGACCCACCTTGGGCAGTTACACAGAATCCCTGGTAGAGCTGCCTTCAAGTGAAGCTCTTCAAACCACTTCTTTCACCTTTAAAGGGCATACAGAGCTTGCTGCTACTACACACAGGGCCAAAGTTGATATCTGTACTCTGATAAATTGCTCCAAATGCCTCCTGTGCACCAGCACATTATGGAACACAAATGAACCCTCTCACCAGTCCTAAAAGAAAACGACCCTCGTTGTTTAAAAGACAACAGTGGACACACTGCTCATGATGTCCTCACTTGTGGGCAGATGCTTCTTCATATGCAGATCTCTCAGCTCTTAGCTTAAGAACTGGACTGAGCACCTGTCCAAGACAGATGGCAACTAGGAATTTATGTTCAAATGGATGCAAACATTGCTATTAGAAGGAATATTAAGATAAACAGCAGAGTAAGATAAAAAGAAAGGTCTGAAAAAAGAGTCTGCTTTAAAGCCAAAGGGCTGGAAACCAAGAAGCCCTGATAACAGCAAAAAGCATCTACGCTACAAAAAAGGCCATCAAGCAGGTCAAATTCTGCCATGAGATTGTTTTCCTTCTTGCTTTCCCAAAAGTGCTGGGAAAGCCTGAGGGAGAAGTACCTTTTTCCCTTTCTTTTATAACAGCATAAACGGCAGCCCAGGCTAGAGAGCAGGATTCGCTCCTACAGCAAAAGCTACTTGTAAAAAGATATATCCAGAGTGTGAATCTTCCTGCAAGTTCTTGAAGGGGGCAACACTGCCTCAAGCAAACGTACTAACGCTCTGCAAGCGTATGGATGTTCGTGACATTGAGGATGATTTCACGGGAGAGAGCGCCAGGTTATTCTGATCCGGTCACGACACACAGGCCTTCTGTACCGAGAACGTCTGCGGTGCACCCGGCTGCACGTGGGCTGCGTGCGGAGATGGGGAGTTTCCCTCACGCAGCCACTCACCTGAGCACATTTATTAAATCAATGCTTACCAAACAAAACAAAACAAAACTTGTTTATTATTAATTCAGTACTAGTATTAAATAAGAAAGCAGCACCTGAGAATCTACCCCTAAACACTCTGGAATCAAAAACACTTAAGGTTTAACAAAATATTAAGACATTTAATGTGATACTTAAGGACACATTTGAGTGTCCTATTTGTCTATTTATGAAAACATTAGAAATACTAGACTCATGAATTTGAAAAAAATGACTGAAGACTTTACTTTTTTCAGTTTATCAAGTAGACATAAGTATTTTTCAGTCTTTCATATCTGAATAATAAATGCATGAATATTTTAAGTTTGAGGGGTAGAAATGGTTGGTCAATAGAAGTATTGGCTTGATGCCCTTACCTTTAACCACCTCAGCCACGTTACAGTTAGGATCAATACTTCCAATATGTTTGGGATGAGCAGGATTAATATCACCTCCAAAAAGAAGTGCTAAAAGGAAAAGAAAATGACAATAAATTGTCCAATACACTTGAGGCATGAGAGGCAACTTATATCACTCAACATCTGAAGCTTACTGGGCAGCCCATCATTTTGTAAAAAGATGCTCTTTCCTATTGTCAAAATCCTTGTTTAAGACAACTACCCCCTTCCTCTCTCACCCTCCCAATCGTTAAAACTCATTACTTTAGAAATAAAGGCGTGGGAGAGTTAAGATGTAAATCTCCATTCCAAATTGAACTACCAAATTGGATACAACTAAATGGTAAAATGCTTCATTCGTACCATTATGTCAGTACAGGAGCAGCTGACATGACCAAAATGTCAACAGAAAGGACTGGGGAACTCTAAAACGGTGCTGAAGCCTTTTACAGACACCTAAACTGCACAAGTTTAGTAGAAGTCACCAAAGTGCAATTGCACAGTGGGCAGAGGGGTCTCCCTCTCAGCTTCCTCCCTGCCTTTCAGCAGAACATTCCCCACTCCCTCCACCGCACAAGGTCTGCTGCTCACCAGACCCCGCAGGGGCGCAGTTTAACTCCTAAAAAAGCAGCAATACTTTATAGCTTTTTTGCAGGGGCAGTTTCCACCCGTTTAGCAACTCGTGGACGGTTAGTCACAGGAAGAGGCCGCGGGAGGCAGTAGGGGGGCACGGGGGACCCCCTTGCTGCTGCAGCGAGGGCAGGGGAATGAATGAACGCGCCGGCTCGCGCACTGCGGGTAGCGGCGCCAAAGCCCGAGGCTTCGGAAGCTCACTCGCTCACCGAGCCTAAGGAACCTCACTAGGAAGCTCAGGAAAATCCCTTTCCAAATTCTGCTTCCCCATTGTTTGCTTGCTTTTCAAGGTGTGAAGACTGGGTTTTGCTCATCAGGGCTAGATCACTGCGGTTTGTTAGCAGGGAACTTTAGGCACCTTTAAATGGTGTAAGTTAAATGACAATGCTGATGGGAAAAGCAACTTCAGTTTGCTGAAATAAGTTTAGTATTTTAGAACTAATGCAAATTATGTTCCTACTTGGTCTAGGATTTCTGTTAGGATTAAGCTTTGGCTTATGGTTAGCTCTCTAAGGAAGGCCTGTGGACTTGTTTTGCTTCTGTCATTTGCCCACAAGAAGAGAGAGTTGCGCGTGTGCCTCCCCTCTCGGGCTGTGCCACACAAAAAAGTTATTTGCACTCGTGAAAGCCGAGCGCTGTGCTGGGCAAAGCAGCCCTGCAAGGGGCACAACGGGGACCTGCACAAAGGTCAGGTCAGCTTTTACACTGCAGCACATCCTGGGTATCACGAGCTCTGCAAGTAACTCCCTTTACAGGTGTAAGAGGAATGTATTTTTTAAGTTGTTGCTTATTAGCAACATTACTGAACAAATAGAACCTGACAATGAATGACAAAGAATGACTAATTTTAATATTTATTCATAAATAGGGAGTAGACAGTAGAGTCAGATAAAGGTGATAATTTAAAGCTTTAGTTAGACAAACTCAACTCACTAAACTCCTTTAGAAGGCAACAAAAAATCCAGATAAGCTGCTTAAAAATTGGCAATGAAAATATATACAGTGTATAATCTCTTCAAAATCTTTGGCAACCTTGGGCTTGATGATGAAATAAATGCCACCTTGACAAGCTATGCTGACAGATTAGTGAGCTTTAGAAAGATGGGGCTGCTCCTCTGCTAGCTAAAAGCGGCCGACGCGTCGCTACGCCCAGTGTCTCTGCCACAGAGGTTAAAAAGGGGCAGCAGCCACACTGAGAGCCAGGCAATTCTGGAAGAAAAAAAAAGTCCTGGCGTTTTGGGTTCATTTTTTTGGGAAACTGACAAAAAAAAGCACAAAAAACATTAGTTGCCACTATACCATTTACCATAATTAGTACAGAATAGCAAGAGTTAAGTCTTATGAGTATGAAAAATACCAAAACCAAAGCTATATCAGGTTTACAGGCAATGACTAATGAGATCTCAAAGATGAAAAAAGCAATTACTTACTGTGTTGGTTAATAAGCATACGGAAAGAGATGCGGTTGGTGTAGAATCTATCTAGAAAATACTGGATGTTACTGCTAACAAACGGATCAAAGCCATATTTTTCCTTGTATTCAATCACCCCTTGCGCCATGGTCGGAACCACATCATTGTGTCTGTTCCTGACTTTAATTAAAACGTCTAAAAAGCTGAAGGAAACAAAATTGGAAACAACATGTTAAGAGTGTAATTAATCTCAGCTTCTGTTTTCAACTCCTCACAGCATTATCAAGTTTATCTGTTATTTACTACCCCTCACAGTCAATATAAAATGATCAAAAAGGAGACGTCAAAACCAAGCAGTGCCTTAAAAAGCCTACTGAAAGGGAAATACGACAGCAACCTCTCACGAGGATGATGCAGCTAGGGCCTCAAATTCAACTCTTCCTCCTCACAAAAACTTATTTACATTAAAGCTCCTCTCACTAATCGCTCAGAACAAGAGGTTCTTGTTCTTCCCAGGCAGCGGACGAGGGCCTGACCACCTTTCACAATTTCCGGAGAGCCTTCACGCCTTCTACTTCCTTCCAGGGACTTATTTCCTTTACCCAGCGCCTGCTCAGGTCAGCGTGACCCCCAGGCCAGGCAATTATCGTGCTCAGTTTCCTTTTGCACCGCTGGATGGCACAACACGGACAACGGGCTCCTTCCCGGCAGCAGCTCCTGAGGCTTTAGGCTACAACTTCCACGGCTTTTGCCAGCACCTGCTGTGCAACTGCTTGGAGAACTCCTGTTTTTCCTGTCAAGGAAGCTCAACACTCACGAGCTTCAATGTGCTCATCCTTTCTTTTCACATGTAAACTTGTGCATGCTTTGAACAGGATATTAATAGCCTTATAAAGTCTACACGTGAAAAATCAGCACTACTCAACTCCTGTATTAGCCTTCTTTAATATTAACATACATATATATGTACGTATGTATAAAGACCATCATGATTATATGTTCTTCTTAAAACTAAGACACAGGATAAAATGCAGACTTCCAAAGAAAACGGACTTTGTTAGGTTATGCTTACATTTGCAACATTACAGATCCCTTTTTTAAAAATAACTGCAAAACGTTTACAGCAAATATATAGCAAATCCAGAAAATGGAGTAAAATAATTAAGACATTACCACAAGTGCAAAACACACTAGCTAAGGAATGTACGTTAAAACCAAAAAGTACAAAGGCTGCCTGTCTGCCACTAGATTTAAGGCAGATGCTTCTTTCTTTTTCACAAGCAGTTGCCCAGGAGGATTGAGAGTAAAACAACCCACTCTTCACAAGCAGGAGGCTTTTAAAACAATTTCTCCCCTTTTAACAGTGCCAGCTGTAAAGGAATGTAGGATTCCTTCTGAACAGCTTTTTCACCATCCTCCATCTATCTAATCACCAGGTTTGCATGGGCATTAAACAATTCATTAGTCTTTCAAAACATACCTCTTTGCATACAAAAAGGGAAGTCTTGTCTAATTCCCCAATCCAGACTTGCACAGTACAGAACGCTGTTTTTACCTACTTATCAACCTTGCTGACGAGACATCTTAAACCATTTTAATGCTTACGAGGTTTGTAGACTCTTTTTAAGTTTATTAAGTCTTGATTCCATGCAGTCTCTAGCCACACAGACCTGAGAGTTGAATAGGAGCAAAGGTTTCTACAAGTTTTCGTCTCCCTGCTTCACAGCTGCGGATGGCAGAACAGTTTTGCTGGCAGAGGAGCACAAGGTGATAAAATGCTGGTTTTCCTGCCGCTGTTTTGTTGCATGTTTCATACTGGTGATTGTGCTGGCTTAACAATAAATTCTTCAGAGGCAACCTGGACAGTGCAGAGGTGACGATACGCTCCCCCGGGCAGAGGCTGAACCACGGGCCCGGTGTCCTGCTGGGCCTCCAAGGTACTTCCCTCGCGGGGACGGCTTTCCAGGCAGGACTGGCACCAGCCGCGCTCAGGCCCTCCCTCTGGGCAAGGAGGATCAGCTTAAACCAGGGCCGAGAGGCTGCTGCGACAAGCGCAACCCCTAAATACCTGTAAAGCCCAGCAACTGTGAATCTGTAAAGCCCAGCAACTGGCAGCACCGTCTGCCCCCCGGCTTCGCTCTGTGCTTTTCAGCAGCCCCCCTACCCTAACACACACCCGCTGCACGAGGGCTTGGGGCAGAGGGCGGCCGCGGGGCCCCGCGCTCGCCTGCCCCACGCGCTCGCCTGCCCCACGGCGGGGCATCGCCACCGCCCACGCCCAGCACACACACCAAGGAGCTCCTCGGCACCGCCGGGCAGGGCGGCCTCCGGCTCGGTTTTAAACGCGGCACATTTCCCTCAAACGTCTCCACAAGCTACGTGCATTTGAAGGACCAAACACATGGAAGCACATATGCACGTTAAAGGTGGTGATCAATACAATCAATGGTGATCCAATACACACGTGAAAGCTGGTGAAGCAGGAGTCAGACCTAAACGTGTGTCCTTAATCCTGCCATTCCTCTCCTCTTCCTCCACACCCAAAAAGGCCAGCTGAAGCCTTCATTGGGAACAAGGCACTGAAGATTTTTTTTTAAATGATCTCATGGGATTGGCTGAGAGTTTCGTCTCTGCTGATACCTGCTCATGCCCTTCACGTGCCCAGGCTGCTGCTTGTGGGTACGCCCTGTGGGACAACGACCAGGGACTAACATGGCTATTTTTCAGTCAAATCAAGCCCAAACTCACTTGACTGTGTGGCACCACAGACAGCTACACCAGCGCACGGACAACACGCCTAATCCCAGGGCTCTGACGTGTCTCCTCAGGAAAACCAGCCTGGATTCCCAGCACAGCTGACCAGGCTCCCTGGGCAGACATGTGATGTGGCACAAACAGGCAGAGGATGTTTTTATGTATGTGATACACCACAAGGGGGGTGTAAAGAACATCCCTAAAAAAGAAGCAAGCAACGAGAGCAGAGGAGGGAGAGGAACAAAATGCTCCGGCTATCGGGAGGTCACAGCCGAGCCCTGAGCACCCAACCTGGCCTTTGTCCAGGCCGAGCGGTCAGCCAAAGGGACAACACATGAACTCTGTCCTAAAAGACAACAGGGAAACTTACAGAGCTTTTCAAGAGAGGTTCGAATTTACTGAGGAATTAAAAATCCCCCCAAACTGGTACTGAAAGGCAAACAAAAAACCAAAACCCACAACTCTACCTTGACGAATAGGAAGTTTTCGGGACTGTTGGCAGGTACTTGAGTCCGACAACAGCTCTCAAGCCATCGTGTGATGGACATCAAAAACCAGGACATGACAACACTACTGGACATCTATCTCAAGTACAATGACACTGGTGACACCAGAATATTTCCTTTGCTTCTTGGTAGGCCAGGGCAATGGCAGAATTGGGGCACCTGTGGATACCAAACCTCTTACAAAGTGGTTTTGGTTCCTTTCTCGCTTTAGATACTTTTAACTTGACCTGTAAAAGGTGCCAAGGTTCACCGCCGCTGACCATAAGAGCAGCAGGTCTTAAAAACAAACACACACCCACAACTTGCGAAATCTCATGATTTTTTAGAATCAGAAGAGGACACCACATTCTGCTTCAACCAAAAGCTCTTGGAGCTGAAGAACTTTCATCCAGAGTCAACTCAGGTTTTCAAACACTAAGTTAAAGCAAGAAGCGATGTGCCCCCACCATGAAGTGCACAAGTCAACTGCTTCCTCACAGGGCACTAATGGGATGGGGCGACTCGAGCTCTGGGGAGGCAGATCTGGGTCCAGCAGCTTTTCCGTAATCTGGAGTCAGCAGCTAGAGCTCAGTATGGGAGCCAGACTCCAGCTGAGAGGAAGCAGGACATGGATCAGGCTCCAACCCCTCCTTATATATATCACCTTATGCCTAGGACACACACTGGTAGGGTAAGAAAGGCGCTGGCTCAAAGGACTGGGCACACTTCATGGTGTGAACTTCCACATGTCCTTCTCTAAACAAACTGCTCTGGTGAGGAAAAGTACCACTGCTATTCGTGCATCATTAAAAATACTACCCGCAAAGTTGTAGATAACGCATCAAATTCTGAATTTAATGGTGCACGGGGTTACAGGAAACAAAAAAGTATTATGTAAACACAACCAAACTCTCAGAATTCATTTTTTTTTTTCCAGTGACAAGTAGCTCATTAACTAGTAGAGTCACCAGTGCTCCCACTTCTCCTCTGAGCACACAGATATGGAAGGAGGACAGGGCTGGACCCTTCACTACAGCATACTCAGCACAGCAGTTGAGTAATTTCTAAGGTTTATTCTGCAGGGCTACTGCACCTGCAACATGGAGACAGTCGTTAAGAGCAATTTTAAAAAGACTCAGTTGGCCAGAAATACAGAAACAATTGCTCATCAGGGCTCAAGATTTAATTAATAGGCTCCATGATGTTAGGAAGCATTGACATGCAAAGAGCAAAATATTTAATCTGATTTTCTTATCTTAGGCAGCTATCCAATACTGTAAATAAGAATTAATTTTATCCCTAATCAGATAATTTGTGTTTTATCTCTTTACACTGTCAGAATCACTAGCTGGACTTTATCTCAGTAGGTAGCAATAAGTTCCCAACATCTTTATTTTATTCTAAATACATCTAATACTATAATTGCAAGATTTTAAAGATTTCAACAATTATTATGAATGGCTAATATATTTAGTACATCCTAACTCAGGGCACCTCAAACTAAATTTTACATTCCAATAAAGCAGCGTCAGGAACGTCTGTTGTGATAAAGGCAGATAACAAGCCTGGCAATCTTGAACAGACTCCAAAAACAGGCCCCCATGGAAACTTTCCAAAGTATCAAGCATTTTAAAAACACTGGAGTATTTTGATCCTTCTTAGGCTTCTGAAGTCCACACAAAAAAAAAAATGAAAATAAGTTATCTGAAAAAATAAATGTAAGTAATACTAGAAGCTTCATAACAACTGTGCCTTGAGCTGCATGTTCAGAACACTATGGCTTTTTTTTAAAGCCTGTGTTAACATTTGCCAGGCTCACTTAGCTATCTAGTGCACTATATGACACCTCAAAGGACAAATATGTAACATTTGGTAACAATCTCACTCGAAATGCTCTTTTAAGCCAAATAGTAGGAAATTTATTGATAAACCTGTCAAAAGCAGAAATTCTCAGCCATCAGCAAACAAGCTGTGAATACAGAATCACGGAAAGCAATACAAGTGGTAAAAGAGATCAGCCAATTCCTCCATTACGGAACAAGTTTGTCACTTAATCGTTACCAAAAATGTCTAGTCTGTTCTTAAGAGTTTTCAATACAGGACACTCTACAGCCTTTTGACAATCTGCTTCAATTTGTTCCACTAATGTTAGAATTCAGACTTTTTGTCCTGTTCACAATCTCAGAAGATCAACTATTCAATCCTTCCTTCCTCACGTACAGCAACTGATCTTGCTTTATTACAGAGTATTTTCTACTCACAAGCTTCCTTCAATCTCTTTTTTGCTGTTCTAAACAAATCTCTTCAACTTTTCTGATATGGAGCTTTCCACACCTTTAATTCTTCAACTCCTTCCTTTGATACTGTCCATTTGCACTGTAATTCTCTAACAGGTAACACCCAGAACAGAGCGCGGGCTCAGGACTCCCACGGAAAACACTGTTACTTTCTACTTGTCCGACAGCACTACAGGTGACTCACTCAGCCTAAATCCTTGTGTCTCTTCCTGCAACTCTGCCACTCAGCTAATCTGTTTTTTTCTGCACTTTTCTCCTTCATGCACTTTGCCCTTAAAAAAAAGAAATAAGTGAAAAGAACTCAGAAAATATCCCGAAAGCCAAAAGAATATATAGTCTCAAATGCATTACCTAACAAACCCCCCACTAAAGCTAATGGAACAGCTAATGAATCTCAGGCTTACGCTGTTTTTCAGTTATATTAAGCTAACTGGATAAAGACAAAATATGATTCTTGCACAACACGGGTCACCTCTCACACAAAGCATTTACTGTACTGGACTGCAAGCATTTTATGAACATTACTATCAAGCATCCAAATTCTGCCAGGTCATTTCCAGAGCCCAAAAGAGAATTCAAGTTTAAAAGACAAGCTGTCCTACAAAAACTAAGCAACAGAGCAAAAAATCTGCAAGAACTGATCACCTAAAATAGTGCTGTACAGTAGAAGGTAAGTATAGATCATTTTTATTTTGCTGTTACTTTGTCATACCTATAGATACGTGTGTGTGCATGCATATGCCCATATACATGTATGCACGCACACAGTGGTGCATTTGCCTTTCTGTTTAACATTCTTCTGAGCCCGTTTTGTCTGCACACATTTCAAAGGAACATTCGAATGCAATTTGGTAAGAGGTTACTGATGTTATATTTAGAATAAAAAAATGGGGATACATTCAGTGCTTTCAACTGAAAATTTGACAGCAGTAATATGCTAATATATGCTCCATAAAGCAGGGTGCTGAGCTTAATATTAAAATGACATTTAGAAGCAAGTTTGAATATATGAATTCATGAATATATTCTTGCATGCACATTGCCTTTTTAATATAGCCTCAAAGAAAATATTTCATGACATTTCTTAATTTGGTAGACTGTATATATCTAAAACATATTGTATAAATATACTTTCATTTTCCATACTCAACTCTAGTGTACACTTTTGGTCTTTATTACTTTACTTCTACCTTGCAAGTAACATCACCACCAAAAAAAAGTTTTTGAAACAGATTATTATTTGAAAATAAATTGTTGTAGGAAAACAAATTACTCACTCATCCAAAACATGAGGATCCTCAGGACTTTTATTTTCATATTCTAAAAGCTCAAGGAAGCTCTGCATGTACCTGAAAAAAGATACACAAAGAGTTAAAATTAAGATACTTAAATTACTTTTTCCCCCCCAAATATTAAGATTTAACACTTGCAACCCAAACCTCTTTAATTTACATATTCTACACATGGAAAACAGTGACAGAGGCTCAGAGCCACAGGGCTACAAAGCAGAGTCCAAAGGAGACCTAGGACAAACGGCCACTTCACATGAACCTGGAGGTGGCACTGGAAATGCCTCCACCTGGTCCATAAGCCAAGTAGCAGTCCCTGGGTTAGGCCTATCTAGCAGCACAGATGGGCCTTGAAAGGCATCACCCCAATTCTCCCGCCACAGCACAGGCCCTCTCTGAAAAGCCACTCACATATAAGCGACTAGAGAGCTGCAGGAGCCTCTGCACCGAAGACAAAGTGCAGTGGGGCCAAGAAATCTGTTAGACACAAGAGAACTAGGAAAAAAAGTTTGACTGCAGAAATTGTGTAAAGCTTTTGGAACAGTCCAAAATGATTCCAATGGAGATGAGGTTTCCCCAGGTTAGAGAAAAATCCTTAGATTTTTCCAGGGAGATTAAAATTTTCAGCAGGGCCAGCATGGTAACATTAGCGTCTGTCCTTCTGTCTTGGTCTTGCAGCAGCTGCTGCTAAGGTCTGCAGAAATGATTAGGAGGTTTTTCAGGCACAAGTTTGGGAGAGAGTTGCTGTTTCTAGTTCTGCATATTTTAAAACTAAGCCCTTGTAAAACTAGAAGACTAGCAACACAGTTTAGAGCCATTATATCAGCCTTCTGTGAACTCCAGAAATTTCCTTGGGGTCACTTCAGGGAACAGGCGGCGACTCTGTGAAGGCAAAGCCCACCATCCACCACACACCCCTGTTCCTGCAAAGCACAGCACTTAGCTATTTGACAGATAACAAAGTAAAACTGCACAGAGATTTATTTAGTAGAAAGAACCACGGTGGGACTTTGGGAATACACAGCTTAACCATAGAGGGGCAGCAGACACCATAGGGAAGATGGAGAGGCACAATCAGCCTGGCAGCTGGCTTTGCAAACGAGGGAACATGGAGAAGCTCATCTCCTTTGAGATCAGGCCCTTGCAAGCAGCCACCTCTTGACAATTCTCCCGAGGGGGGGAAAAAAAAAAAAAGGCAGCTTCACTCTGAACTCAGCTCCTTCACCCATGAGATTGAACACCCAATGTAAGTCCTTTAGCGTGAGCTTGCTCAGTCCTTGTCTTAAGGGGATGAATTTTCTTCCACATCCTTCTCAGATGAATCAAGGTCAGTCAAGCCAATCAAGGGTAGAGGATGGAAGAAGTCAAATCATCTGCAAAGAAACTCCAGAAGAAAAGGTGGGGAAGCAGTGGACAACAACAGGGTGCTCTAGCACCTCAAGGCCTCAGTTTGGCTCTGGGGCAGCAAATGTTGCAGAGGACGATTCCGATTCCTTGCCAAGGCAGGCAAGCTAATGCCAAAGGGACTCGCTGCTGTACCCAGTCCTGCTGCCACCGCTGAGGGACAACCACCCCACTTCAACAGCCTCTAGTGGATTAACAGCTCTCAGCAGCAGGTTCCCACTACCTCCTTTCACTTCACTCCTTCCACAAACAGCTCTTTCTCACCCAAGACCCTGTCAATAAAGTGAATTTAAGGAAAGAACTCAAGCCAGGCAATCCATATTTGTCTCAAAGACAGAATGGACTTTCTGGACTTTTTCTGGTTAGCCAAAGAAAAGGGTATTTCATGGATGGACAGCTTCTTGCAAGTAAAGTCAGGAATAGAAAAAACACAAACGTGACACCATCAAGACATTCGACACTGTGAGGTTCGACTACTTTCCTTAGGCTGTGGGCTGTAATATACCAAACAAGAAATCCAAAGTCTCCAGGGTTATAACCTTCTTTTGTACTTAAGAAAGTATCTGCCAGCTTACATTTGTTTCAACATGTTGTAAATTAAAACTAGCAACACACTTACTTGCTTCTGAATAGAAATGTAATCTACCCAGGAAATACTGCCTGAATTCTGTAAAGGAGTCTTATTTTATTCCTCAAATACAGGTAGATCTCTTGGTGTTTACTGACTGCATCTACATGAGCATTTTGATTACCAAATTGAGACCAGCAGCAAGGTTTTGAAAGGGATCTCCCAAACAATCCCCCTCAATATGTTTTGATTACATTTGCAGAGTGTTACAGCACTACAAATCGGGATATTTTCAGCACAAGTGACCACGGCAGCCTCTGGGGACATGCAAGCGTGCCAAGAACCGGGGCAGTTGTCGCGACCTGAGCCGGTCAGGGCCCAAACCTCCGGGAGGTTCCCTAGCTCGGCGGGGCACTACAGGCACGGGCATGGACAGACTCCCCCTACACCGCACAGAGCAGCTCAAATTACAGAGAGCCAAACGCCGTGCAGGTCACCCACCCTTCCTTTCTCTACAGCCCTTCTTTTGCCCTTCAGAACTTTCTCCTAGTTTGAAATCTTTTCCCTTCCAGCCCTAATTTCTGTGGCCACCCTCCCTGGTAGATGGAGGCTTTTATCTCTTTCCCATGTCCTGTCTTTAATTCCCTCCCCACCCTTCTACACACCAGTCCACTCCTCTACTGCCATCTTCACCATGGCAAGAACAGCTCTTGCAGCCGCTCCCCACAGCATCCAGAGCTGACAATTTCCCTGGCCACAGGTAAAGCAGCGGATGTTACCAGGAGGCTGCTGACCCGGGCTCTCAGCAGACAGACATACAAAAGCCTTGGTTCTGAGGCTGCGGGAGAACCACCACATGCAACAAGCTGCACCACAGCAGATGCTTCTCACCACAAACTCCCACCCAGAGCAATCCATCGATCACCTAAGGATAACAGAGAAGGGGATATTTCTGGTACTAAATGCTATCTTAATTTTCTGCTCTTTTCATTTGTTTGCCTGTTGCTATTGAGACTTGTACACCCTGCTTGCTTGCTGGGGCCCTGGTCTCAAGACTGCTAACCTGACAGACTGAAGCACCCCACCAATCTGGCACTGAAGCCTCGGCACATTACTAATGCACCTGACAGAGGCAAGGCAAGCGTTTCCCATCTCATGGAAGCTGACATGGTGCAGAAAGCTGCCCTGGGGGGAGAGCTGAAAGGGCAGGGAGCAGCAGCCAGGCACTGCAGCCCTCAGCACAGCGGGCACGCGAGACAGCCCCCTGAGCCCCTCTAATGGACGAGTTACAGGAGCTAAGGGCTCTAACTAGGGGAACTCGTGAGCAGGCTACCTAGGGGTGGGCAAGCACAGGAACCAGGCAATGCTTCCCCTCTGTACAGGACTAGCAAGGAGCTCTCTCAGACATCTCTTTCTAACTAGTAAACCAGAATGATTCCAGAAGTCCCGCAGGCAATGGGATGAGTAAGCTAAAAAGGCCAGTTCAAATAGGAGGATTCTTAACTCCAAATCTAAGTCACTCAATTGCCTCTATCACTCGTGCACTCCCTGTCAATCCTCTCACCAAAGGAAGCCGCCAACAATTAACCCCAACCCAAACAACTCTAAGCCACTCCGTGATGCTCGTCGTTACACACTTCCCAACTTCAGGATCTTGTGTCCAGCTTTGATACTAAAACAGGTCTCCAAATTAAAACCCAGAGCTGCAAGTGCCATACTGCTTTGTCTACAATTCTGTGGCGATTTAGTTTTTCAAAAGCACTGACAAGACTTATCCTCCTAGCAAGAACTGCTCAAAATTAAAGAACTAAAAACTTATTTTAAAGGCATTTTATAACTCTGAACTGCAATAAATGATTCACAACATTGTCTCAGCAACAAGCATCAGAATCTGCCTAATGAAAACAGCACTAGTCAGCAGTTTCATTCTCTCCCTGTAACAGCCAGTGTGTGTGTGTGTGTGTGTGTGTGTGTGTGTGTGTGTGTGTGTGCGCGCGCACGTAGCATCATTCCTCTTTCATCCAATTCATTTCCTTGGATTTTCTTTCAATTTAAAACTGCAGAGGAAGATGTGAATAACTGAAGGTGATAACTACAGGATTCACTGAGCACTGAAAAGCAGCACCTGGCAATGGTTAAAATACTTCACACAATTTACCAGGCTTTAGAATAAAGGAGAAAACTACTAAAAGCTGCAGTGATTTGCTGCACTACTATTAAATGGATGCAGTTGTACCAGGCACAAACCTACAGAACGAGTAGAAGAAGTGAGTGGATCCATTACATTTTGCTATTTGCAAAGAGCCACGTACAGCAGAAATCAAAGCCTACGCCCTTCAGCTGTCTCTATGCCTTTTGCTGTGCATTTTTTTTTCTTTTTAATGCAATACACCACAATTACTTGGGGAAGTTGTTTTGGTTTCAGGCATTTGTTCTTTTGTTAATTACCACAGCGGAGATTAGTTTAAATTAAGATTAAAGGCACGTCACTACGATTTCCCTTTGGAAATCAACCAGCACTGATGAAGAACGCAACACCCAGTTGCGTTCTTCACAGCATCTCCACAGTCACACGATCTCGACGTGACTTATTTGTATTGCATGCAACTCTTGCCATCTCTTCAGCATTTGGCGCGCTGGCCTCGCGCATTCCCGGGTTTATTGTGGCGGGCTCCCCGCGTCACCGGGGCGAGACCATTGCCTGGCACACACCAGGCCTAAGAGCCCTCTCAAGGCTGCCCTAGAAAGCCCTGCCTCTTTTGAACGCGTGAGGTGCCCACTGATTTCAGAAAAATAACGTGCTGATTCCTAACCTGCTGGTTGCTCATCTAGTGACTGCATCACTGCAGCTCACAGTCAGAGCATGTAAAACCGGAGCTGTTACCTGGACCCACTTTCTTCCCTCCCTCGCTACTTCCCACAGAGCAGACCCAGGATAACTTCTGGATTTAACCGAGCCCGCATTCCCCTGCGCGGGCTGCAAGGCAGACACAACGAGGCATCTCCCTGGGCGGGCAGCACCCTTTTGCTCAGCAGAAGGTAGCGCAGCAGCACCGAGGGAGGGCAGCTGCTTCCCTGGCCCTCGCTG